AATATATATATATCATGAAATTAATATTCTCCTAATACATATATTTGATATTTAATAATTAATTATAATAAAAATTTAGTCATTTCGAGATGCTAATAAGATTTTAAAAAACTCGAATCCTTTTCACATTTTATAACAATATAAATAATTGGTAAAAATTAAAGCATTATGGTATCGGTTCGGAATCGAAGTATAGATGGAGAGATTATCTATCAAGTTTATTAAGTACAGAATCGAAAAGAGCCAATAAAAGAAGTTACTAAAAATAAAAACATGGAAAATTATGCAAATTTAAGAAAATAAAAATAAAATCATTTAAAATAAAGAATATGAATCATGACGAGAATTCCTTTGAAAGTTGAGTACTGACAGCTTAAAACAAGTCAGTCTATGAGAATGCGTTAACATCTATTCATCTCTCTCAATGTGCTTTTATAATTTATAATGTATTGTTCTTCAGAAAAAATTGCCCATTGTTCACTACAGAAACGCAACAGAAGTTTGGACAAGCATATCTCGTGATTTAAAGAAAAAGAGACGCAAGAAAAAGAAAGAAGACAGGAAGAAACTTTCGGGCGCTGATTTAATATCTAACCGGTTACATTTAGATGATCAAGTTCTGATGCAACACAGCGCGGCGCCAAAGCATTCGGAACGAAGAGCATGGGTAACACCGAGGCCTCGCAGAGATCTGATAAAATCGCGCGCGGCATGTTACAGCTCCGTCGCGTCGCTTTGCGTCGCTTCGCGTCGCCTCGCGTCGCACCGCTCCGCGCAGCGCCGCGGCGCGACGCCGCGTACCGCGCGAAAACGCATTCCCCCTACGGACGCGCAAAAGAGGCGTGGTTTATGTTCGCAGCGGTGTGTATAAGAGACAAACCTCCCGAACCGATTAGCAAAGTTCCCCAAAACACACGTAATACCAGACTTTTCCATGTCAACCGAGCCGTAGAAGCGTAACGACCGGACGATTGAGAAAATCGACACGAAACATAAACGACAACAAAACGGCACATTTTGGAGACAACAACATACACACCGGTGGAGAGAGAAAGAGAGAGGGAGAAAGAAAAAAAAAACAGAGAGGATAAATCGAGATTCTTGAACCCGTTCTCCAGCGATAAATCATCAGGAATTCTCGTTATTTAAACATACCGAGGAGAGTTGTACGTCATCGGCAACAGGCGACGTGTAAAAAGAAGAATTTTGCGGTCGCGAGAGATAAGGAATCCGATTTTTTTTTTATTTTGTGAAAAGGAATTTCCTCACGTAGTGGGACCCCTTTCCCCGGTAGCTTTCCGAACGAATTCGTAGACGGGGAGCAACAGAAGCGAGCCGCGGCATTACTATATCCGCGACACGGAGCCGGCGTAGTGGTGCGGTGGAGGTGGTGGAATCACGGAGACAGGTAGCGAGTCCGCAAGAACGGTTCTCATTTAGGCTCCGATCGTTCCCTGCGTCACGTCTTGACGTCTCTCGAGGGTGTGTAACACCACGCCAACGTTTCGCACACCCGGCTTCCTTGCCCGACGACGCACCAACGCACACACGCATTCATCCAACCAAAACTACCCGATCGACCAACCACCCACGCACGCACGCGGAGTGTCGCGACTACGTAGACGCGATATACGGTAATCGAACGCGATCGATCGAAGGCGCGCGGAAAGAAAGCGCGTTTCAATCGGTCGCAGCTGCTGTCAGCCGCTGTCGACGACGACGACGTTCTGTCACCCTGTCCGCTGTCATAACAGAGCCACGTGTGATCGGCTGCGACGTGCGCGCGCAAGCAAACGAGTATATGGAGTAACGTACGCACGCACGCACGTATAATACACATACGCGCGCACCTGCATACGTAGTCACCCACGCACGCGTCCGCCGCGCCGATCAAGGCGCACTGCACGCGCCGGTCGCGCATTGACGAGAGAGAGGAGCCGCGCCGCGACCTAGCCGACGGCCACTCGTATATCTCATCGGCGTCGCTCGTCAGGGGCAGACCCGAAGACGCAGACCTAACCGGAGCAGCTGGAAGTAATTCTATTTGACGAGATAAGCGGCCGATAACCCACGACCAACTTAAAGACTCGCGTCGATACCAGGCCAAGTCTCGACAGCGACGACGACAACATCAGCGGAGAGTCCCAACGACGACACCCAGCAGCTGATCGTTTAGAGACATACAGGCCGCGGATCCACCGGACACTTGCCCGCGAGAGACGCGAGAGAGTGTGAAAAGCCGCACAGTCGGCCCTCGTCAATTCTTCCCCCTTCCCCCCTACTGACGACAGTACCTACGCGACGACAGGATGCCCGGCTTCCAAAGGAGACAGATGATGCAGCCATGGCCCCTATGCCTGCCGCCCTTCGCGAAAACGAAGGTAAGACTCCACGCCGCCGGCCCGGGTAACCACCGGGTGGCGAAGATCGCGCACTCCCGGCGCCGCCTCTCCTGTTCTCATCTAGGTTTCTCTTCGTGGCAAGCCGCGTCCGGTTTCCACGGCAGGAGTCGCGAGCCGGCCGCCATCCTTCTCTCTGGCGCACCCGACGATCACCCTCGTTCACTCATTCACTCACTCGCTCATTCGCTCTCTCTCTCTCTCCTCCTCCTCCTCTCTCTCTCTCTCTCTCGCTCTCTCTCTTTCCCGTTCTCCGTCTCCTCCTGCCTTCCCCACCCTTAACCCAGTGGAAATTTCCATTGCACCGGCGGCAGGCGTCTGCCGCCTCTACAGTGCGTTTTTTTTCCTCGACTTTCCGGCCGCGACTCTCTTTTCCTGACCTGTCTTTCTTTCTTCTCCTTGCATCACTCCTCTCTCTTTCTCTCTTTCTTTCTTTTTCTTTTATTCCCCTTTCTCTTCTATTGTCTAACTTTGGTTAAATTTTCAATCTCTTTACAGCTCATTTCCACCAATGAAATTAATTAAATTAATTAAAAGTTATTTTTTTATCTTTCTCTAATTGTTAGAAAAAGACGAGGAGTTAATTGAATCGAGATTAAAGTTAAATTATCATTGGTGGAAACAGATGTAAATCGCAGACGACAAACTGTTGAATAAACAGTGACATTTTTTTCAATTTAAGGAACGTAGGAATGGATTATAAAAGAGAGCGAAATATTGCAATATAGTTTTTTACACGTTAATATAATTGTGCCTTTGAAACTAGATAGGCGCGAATTTTTCCCACGTATTTTTGTCCCACAGTGATTCTTTATGTCTTCTTCATTTTTCGCAAAGAGAAAGGTCTAAAATTTTGCCGCCTCGTATCTCGACGCGTAAAAGTCGCGATATCGAACTGTTATCATGATTAATTTATCGCATTTATTTCGATTCGCACACTCTCGATCTTGATCTCTCCCTGCGTTGTTCTTATCGGCTCGTGTCTGCAATTCCCGACTGTGGCTTCTATATTTAACAAGCGGGAATCGCATGTTGGCTCGGAAAGTCACGGTTTATAATGATCCTTTCGATCACGAAATCGCGCTACGTTATATTACGTGCTTTCGCAATGAAAAAAAAAAACGTTAAGATTTTAGGTATCATTCAAAACGATCTTAAAACAACACGGGCTCTTTTGTAAAAAAAAAAAAAGCACATCGAATTGTTATCAATCGTTGTTATCAATCGTTCCGTCTCATTATAAAGTGCCGGGGAAAAGCATGAACAGATAGATTTGTGTGTATATATACGTATATAATTTGGTTGCATCCGATTTTCGATGTAAGCGAGTATTGAAGGAGCATGAAACTGCTCCGCACTCGACGCGAACGAATTCATCTTCGTGGCTCGTCCAGACTCGCCGAAACCATACCGGTTTCGGTCCCCTCGGGGAAAGGCTTTACAGGAGGCAACTGAAGCCGCAGCTCGCGCGAAACTTCATTGTGGGTTCCGCCCGAATCCACGGTTATTTCATATATATAGCTCGCGATGATTTTCCCTGATCGCCGGACAATCGACATTCGTATGCAGCTCTTACGTCTCGCGAAAATATCGATCGCTGTGCGCGCGCAACCGGCGCGTAAGGTTGGACGAGACCATAGTAAATTGTTCACTTCGAAGAAATAGCGTAATATATGCGCCGTATTTCGGCCGAGACGCGAGATAAATCATTTATGCACGAAAGATCACGCAAAATAAAAAAAAGGAAATGAATCAAGTCGTAAAAATCAAAATAATCAAAATAATCGGTTACACGTGCGTTATTGATACTGTCCTATCGAAACGATGGAATAAAAAAAAATTGCGCCGATTATCGTGCACCTTTCCAGGGTACAAGGTGTGGTGCGCATAGTCCGCAAGAAGTTACATAACGGAATGAACGAATGAACGAGGAAATTTCTGAAAGTATCGCGGATCGTGTGAACATTTAATTTTATCGGAGAGATAAGAGAAAAGTGAGAAAAACGTTGCTTCTGCTCGCTTCTCTTCTAGAAGCAGAAAAAGTGGAACAAGAAATGTTATGTCTGTCCTTTTTTATTAGCGACCTTTTTTGAAAAGTCAAATCGGGAATACATTATCTCATATCAACTACATTTGAATTCGGACATCCTGTATATCGGACGGTTTAAAAATAGATGCAATATGATTCTTCGCGTCGACGCATTTTATCAAGAAAGATAAACGCGGGCCTACCAAATTAAATTCCGGCTGATTTTCGAGAAATGTCCTAATGAAATAATTAAATTAGATTGAATCTGATCAAATACATTGATCAGTCCTGGGCTTTGCGTAAATAAAAATCTTTTCGCTATTCTATTAAGATAAAATCTTATTTTGATTAATGTGATTGCATGTATTCAAATGGATGTATCTTCGTTATTTAATCTTTGATCAAATTATCTCTTTGTATTTCAATAAATTTATTGAGAAATAATTTCTTGAAACTAATTTCCTGATTAAAGAAAAAAATATTAATAAGTAATTACTAATTAAAATTTTATATAATAACAAATATAATATTAATGAGTGTGTAGTAATTATTTTTTTTTTTGAAAGAATTCATTGTTTTATGTAATATTATACAA